ACACAGTCGCAGAATGGTGCCGTCTGCACCCCCGGAGACTTCGGCGCGCTGCCCGGAGTAGCCGGCTCAACATTGCTGACGCCGGTAGGGCCATGAGCGCCGCCGCCGCCCTCGGAGGCAAGCGCCTCGACGGTGGTGTCAGCAGCTCCCCCCCCGACCCCGGCGCCCGCCCCCACCGTCCCTACGGCAGAGGGCTTAGGGTCCTTCTTCATCATGAAGTCTTGGACTTCCCGGACCTCCGCAGAGCTCTGCTGCCACTCGTGCTGGAAGCTCTCCAGCATGGTGGAGCCGTGCACCTTCACCTGGCTCACGGTGCAGTAGAACTCGTCGCCGTAGTGGGAGAGGAACTTGAACTTGAGGTATCTGGGACAAAGCGCAGGCGGGGGTGAGTGGTGGGTCAAGCTTATCGGGGGGTTGCATGTCATCATCACGCGGACAAGGGGCGATGGCGTAGTTGCCACAACGACTATTTAGATTCACTGCTGTACGAAGGGCGATAGAGCCCCGTCGTTAACGACACAGCGCGAGGAGAGAAGCGCGAGGAGGAATCGCCGCGAAAGCCGTGGTATGCTGCAAAGAGGTATCCAACGCTCAGCCTTCACAAAAGCAACCTCAACACCACATGAACGCTGCTGCTGCTGCTGCTGGTCATTCACACGTGTACTCTTTAATCACACAGCAACACGACTGTAATAATGTGGAAGCGACCGTAATAATGTGGAAGCTGAAAAGACTTACCTCGCAAATGCCGGTTGAGGGATCTCGAACGTCTGCTCTCCCTGGACGAACTTGGCCGTAAACGTGCCTAGGTCCAACCACTCGTTAACGGGGTAGGTTTGGCTGGCGAGAACCTGGCGTTATTTTGGCGGGTTTCGGATGTCGTGAGAGGCCGTTCGGGTGCCAATATCGAGGGTTGTAGCACCATGAGCAAGCGGGAGCAACGCGACATACTCGACTCGGGTGGTTATACCGGGGCGCGCGCGTACGCACTGCAGTTCGTCAAACAGAGATGACACCAGCCACGGGGAAACACCTCATCATACTATGGTACTTGAAGTAGTAAATAACGCATGTACTCTGTACAGCAGTACGAGTTCATGTGCTCGGGTGTCCCAGACAATAATTATGCTCCTGGGGAACCTTTTCATGAAAGTATCGAGGGTAGCACCATAAGAGAGCAGGAGCAACGCAATGGATTCGACTCGGGTGTATACGGGGGCGTGCGTTCGTACTGCTGTTCGCTCAAAACGGAGATGACACAAGCCACAGCGACAACACCTCATTTTGATTATCAAACCTTGTGTCCGCGGAATTGCGTATATACGCGTTCATGTGCTCGAGTGTCCCAGAAAATAATACTTCAAACAATCGTGCTTGGCGGACCCTACACACAACTGACCGCCGTCGGTGGGTGGTGTACACCCCGCCTTACGCACTACAAGCTATCGAGAGGGGAGGGTTCCGTGCGACTCGAGAAAACGTCAGCCAATGAGATGCCTCCGTGTGTGACGCTCGTCGTGTAGGTGATGTGCCACTGCTGCTGCCCGTTCTTGACTACTCGCTTGGTCAACATGAACATACACTTTACGAAAGGATGCCTGCCAGCTGCCCACTACACACTCATACCCACAGCCGCTATGCCTGACGTATACACATGTATTCACGAGACAGACACCGTGTAATGCGTCACCAGTGTCATCCCGCCGGCCAACAGCATATATGACGCATGTATGCGCGCCTGCCTGCCTGCCTCTCTCCTGACCGCCGCCGCCGGAAGCCTTACCTGAAACTCTTTGAGCAGCGAGGAGTACTTTTCGTGGCTGCCGATCACCAGGCTGCGCACCAGGATGTCCTCCGAGAGGCCCAGCACGGCCCACTGCTTGTCCTCGCAGGGGGAGATCGCGTACTTGTCCTTGCTGTCCAGCAGCAGGTTCTGCATCCCCTTGGATGCCGGAGACGCTTCCAGCAGCACAGCCCCAGAGTCGCGGCTGGCGTAGTTCTGGAGGTTCACGCGCTTCGGCTGCTTCGCCCCGTCGTCCTCCACGTCTGGGACCATCGCCCGCGCCGTGGCGGCTGCCGAGGCCGCAGCGGCTGCCATGGCGAGGTCATGTTGGCGGGCAGCAGCTGCATCTCCGTCTCCGGGGGCAGCCGCCGGCGGAATTGTGGCGGCATGGACATCGACTGCTGCAGGGTCACCCGCAGCGTTGGCAGTTGCGCTTATTCCTGCAGCAGCAGCAGCAGCAGCAGCAGCGTCGAGGCCGGGGGGCGCTTCGGCTTCTGCTAGTGGTTCGAGTGCTGCTGCTGCTGCTGCTGCTGCTGCTGCTGCTGCTTCGTCGTGCAGCGGCGGTGCCGTTGGACCGCCGTTTCTCAAAGCATCATCATCGGTGTCGTACGCGTGGGCTGCCTCGCCTCCTCGCTGAGCGGGGGCGTCCCCTTTCCCGACCGAACCGCCGTCGAGCCCTTCGACGGCAACGTCGACGCCGCTCTCTGCCTCTCCGTCGAAGCCCTCGCTACCGGACGGCATCTCCTTCATGGCGACGCGCCTGCTACTGCTGTGCAGGGGTTGGTCTCCTGTGGCTCTCTGCCCCAGCAGCAGAGGAGGAGATGTTGTGGTTGTGTAGAGCAGCACAGAGCGGGAGAACAGCAGGGAGGGGCACGCTGAATCGTGAATTTGGACACGTGTACAGCCACACACCCTGTTTTTCTCTCTTTGTGGACGTGTAACCCCCCGCTCTCAGAGCCGGTGCCAAGACCTACACCACGTGAGCTTGGGGCCCGGGAGAGCGAAGGATGCCTTCGACGTCTAGCCAGCAGACGGCGATCGTCACGACGCTGGCAATCGCCATTCTGGGTCTTTTCTTCTTCACGAAGAAGGTGCGGCTGCAGCAAGCGCGGCATCCACGGAATGTTCTCTACAACAGTCGTTTTTTCATGCGAAGCAACTCCACTCGCGGGCTCGACGGTTGGTGAAACTGCTTGCTTGTTGTTGTGCTTGTGTAGGATATTCATGAAGCTTACGCTGTACGCCAAAGGCTGTGCTGAGCTCGGTTTTGCCGCGCTGTTTGAGTGTACAATGCGCCCTGTGCTTTTGGAAGCAATGTCAACCATTTTTTCATCAGCAAGCTGCAAAAATTGATTGTCGGTTTGCGGCAAGCATGTGCAGCATACATATTGCATGCATCCACCTCCGCAGGATCCTACGTAGACTACTGCTGTATGTAAGTATTCCCCCATATCTCTTTGTGAATACGGCAGTTCCAATGTCAGTTGAGATTACTTTGTCTGCAGAAATATCGCAAACACGCATGGACATCTCCTCGTTGCTGTATCGCCCTTGGCCACCGCGCCGTGTGTGGTATTGTGGTATTTCGCGATACTGCTGCAGTGCTGTAGGGCGCACACCCATGAGATGTCGGGAGCATGTGTCTTCCCCGAGAGCCAGTTCTCGGCGAGAGGGCTAAAAGCAAAAGTCAGATTGAATCAGATGACGTAAGGGTCAATGAACACTCCCAGGGAGGCATCGGCGCGGTTGTCTCGCTCTCCGTTCGACTGGCACGGGAGAATAATCCCTGGGCATTCTTAGAACGGAGGTCAAAGGCAGTCTGTGTTTGCGTGTGTTACACGGCGAACCCGTGATTCGTTCTCCTGGAGGTGTCGGACTAGACACCCAGACACGCCAACATTCGCACAGGTGGCCAGCGTTGCTGTCACGTATACTGCTGAATGTACGTGCTGATGCCCTCGTTTGTGTATCTATTTGTACAACGTCTGACCTGACCGCAACTGAGCAGGTTGTGCGCGCGAAAGCAGCTTTGGCGGATGGCGGTCATCACTCCTCGCGGCCATGCTCGCCGCGAAACGGCGGCGGCGGCGGCGGCGGCGGCGGCGCCACCGCCGCGGGGAGCAGTAGCGGGAAAGGCGGGGGGGCGGGAAGCGGCGGAGGGGATGGCAGAGCGATGGCTTTCGCTGTCGGGTTGCTGGACATCGCCATCCCGCGCGATGACCGGGTCGGAGGGTCGTTCCCGCGAGTGATGATCAACGACGCTTGCATTGCTCGAGCCGTCAAAGGTGAGCGCAGCAAGGGAAAAAAGGCTCCGTATAGCAGTAGTCCATGTGTGATTCCTGATTCAGCCCATTCAATCACGGAAACTAGTTGCGCTTGTGCCGCGGGAAGGCTGCTATTTGGTGCTACTTCAGTTTTGCTGTGGTTGCCGAGGTTGGTTGCCCCTCCGAGGCGAGTATTCAACTTAGGGTGCCACGCGCACTCACGACATCAGGTGAAGCTTTCGGGTTTCTCTCAACTTTTCCACGAAGCTTCTACCCTTCACTATCTCCAGTGTCGGGTGCCAATATCCTGAACTCACGGAGATAAAACTTCCTCCTTCACACCGTCCACAGCTGTCGGTAGTACACCCTTGCTGTCGCGAACAAACAACGTTCACCCCTTGCTTAGCTTTTCCCGGCTGGCTCCTCCTTCCCGCCGCTCCCGCCGACCGCCTCAGAGGTATCCCGCCAACTAGTAGTCAGCCTTCGCGACGCGGACAACATGCCTGCGGGCGTCGTCCGCGCGTACGTCTCGGGCCTCTACCAGGAGGTCTACGACGCGGCGTGCGCCGCCGACCGCCCGGACCTGGACGTCCGCGTGCTCCTGCCGGCGACGGGCACGAGCGGCGCCGGCACCGCCCCCGCCGCGCTCCCGAACGGCGACGGAGTCTCGCTACCGTCGCCCTTCACGTTCAACCCGGGCCCCCCTCCGGAAGGCGGCGGCGGCGACGGTGGCCCTCTCGAAGGAGGCCGCGAGTTCACCGTGGATCTGGTGAGGGGTTGGGCGTCGAGAGAGGTGGCCGTGCTGGAGCCGGAGCTGGAGGTGCTCTTCTCCGACGACCCGCCGGACGACGGTCGCCGGGAGTCGATCAACGCGGACCGCCTGCTGGCGGGTTACCCGGCCCTCAGGTTCGTGGGCCTGGAGTCCGTGGCGAGCGGCGCGCACACGGCCGAGTACTTCTACGCGGAGGACGTTCTGGCGAGCATCCCGACGTTCTCGAGTGTGAGTGTGTGTTGGGGCATACCATGGCACAGCAAGATGCGCAGAGATGGTGTTTTGTGTGGGCGTCTTTTTTAATAAGCATCGACCGCAGTAACCGGCTGACCAATGAAGACGTCAGTGTGTGTGTATTTCGTCGTTAAACATGGAGTGTTGCGACCGAAGTCGGCGGCGACGTACAATGCAAATGTCGGTTGTTCCTCTTCGCCCTGCGAGAAGCGTCTGTGCGTTTTTGTGTCGCTCCTGTACCCTTTCGGAGGGGTATTTGACCACCGGAGGTTTCCGCGCCAGCTGGACCGGGACCGGATGTTCGGAGCACCGCTGAGCCGAGACCGGAACGGTTTTTAAGGATGTGATGGCAACCTCAACGGCAACTCACCCAATTCGTGGCTCGTGTGTCCGATAAGCAACAGAAGTGGGTTGGCGCCGAAGGCTGACGATGTCGCCTCAACGGCGACGGAAGACCGCGGCGCCAGAGCGTGCCGCCCCGCACCTCACGCAACCCAGTTTGCTTGTCCCTGCCAACACAAACGCACGCGCCGCCTTTTCTCGCACGCCTGCCCCCCCCCCCCCCCCCCCCGACCGGCGTGCTTTCTCGGCGGATGCCTACACGCTCCTCACACACCTTGGTTTCGTGTGCCGCGCGTCCCGCTGAACCTTATTGTTTGTTTGTTTTTTTTTTTGGGGGGGGTTACTGCGGTCGTTGGTGCAGGTCGCATGCGGCGGGACGTTCGACCGGTTGCATGGGGGGCACAAGAAGCTCCTTACCTTGGCCGCTAGGTACGTGCGGGCGTCTTCGGAGGATATAAGAAAACGCCGATCTCTCCTTAGGCTCTTGTTTAGCTGATGCCGTCGTGAAAGTGCCTCTACTGCTGTCTGTCGTTCGAGCCTTGCGCGCGTGAGCGGTGTGGAGGGAAGGAGGGCTCAGGAACTACGTAGCGCCGTGTTCACCTGGGACGGTTGGTCTCCCTCTCTCTCTCTCTCTCTCTCTCTCTCTCTCTCTGTGTTTTCGTCCTATTTATTATGGCGATAGTCCCCCCATTCTTCGTGCTGAGACGTGTACTACACTTTTTAATGTATGTAGAGTACTACACTTTTCGGTTGATTTTTTTCGTACAGTTACAGCCATCCAGGGTCACACAGGAGGAGGGTAAATACCGGGGCTTTTTTCTGGAGACGCGGAAGAAGTACAAAGAAAGGCCGAGCGAGCATCACGCCTAGGACAAGAAGCTGCTGCGTTGCACACGTACAGCAGTAGGTTTATTCGCCAGGGAGTGAGCTGGTGCGAGGGCCTAGCGTAGCGCGGAGGAGTGAAACCGCAAGCGGGTGTCCGCATGGTGCAGCTGCCGCCACGATGAGCCGAACGAACCGGAACAAAAGTTCATTCCCCCCCGGAGCAGCAACGATCGTTCGACTCTGCTTGTACATATGCCCACCAACCCGCATCCGTTCTAATTGCGACATACAAATACAAGGGGCATACCCCGAGCCTGGCTTGCGCACACGTTCCGGCCCCCCCCCCCCCCCCCCCC